CTGACAGTAAAGGGCTATTATGTTGACTGATGAGAGAACAGAAATGTTGATGAAAAGACATACAAGACAAGACAAAAAAAGCAGTCTATAATTATTATTTCAGGAGAAAATCTCTTTTTATATCAAACACCAAAGTACACCATGTTATTTTTTTTCCTTACTGTGATGAACACATTCTCTCTCCTGTTACGTCCTACCACTCTGTCCATGTATCTGTCCTAACAATGCCACAAGTCTGTCTCTATTCCCATCACGCTGAACCACCAATTCAAATGGCATCAGCAGACACCATCTGCATCATCCATCTCAGGGCCTGGCACTGACCTAGATCAGATCACCCATGAACTCCTCCAGTCTCCTCTGATGCTCTTTCTCAGCCAGCTTTGCCGTTTCTGCCCATAAGTAATGAACTGTGTGCTCCGACTCTGTCTCCAGACATCACAGAAAACTGCCTAAGGGTTATGGTACCAGTGAATGAGTTCATTTTTTTTAAAGACTCACCTCTGCCACACCCACATTCATACACTGTAAACTCTGTAATAAAGGAAAAGCCAATATGTACTACTGCAAGTGCCCTCAGGAGAGACGTGCAGATACGGAGTGATTAATAACCCATAGCTCTTTTTTTGGCTACAGTTGGAGGGCAACCACTGACTACACAGAACAAAGCCGTGAGGCCAAATCCTCACCGAGAGCACATCCTGGACAGATATGAGTCTATACTAGTTTTCTGGAACAGTGCCACACTCTCCACAATCAAGGTCAGTCTTTATCTTTGATTCTAGACAGGTGAGGCACTCCAGCCCCGAGGCAAGGACACGAGTTAGCAAAATGAAATCCAACAGTTTCCTCTGGATATATAACAAGTGGGGTGGGGATGGGATAATGCCCGAGGGAAAACCTGAGAGGTTGTCAATAAGGGCCCACACTGCACATGCACTGGGAGGTAAAAGGCTTAGTCACCGCCTCTTCAGCAGTTTGGGTCCAGTCACCTGTAATATACACTCGGTGTTGAGGGTTCCAGTCCTCACAGCAGAAACAAAGGTCCCTTTGTGTTGCACATGCACTCAGTTGCATTTATCAACTTGACCATGGAGGGCGTTCTATTTCAAAAACAAGTGCTGTTGTGTCTGGTTTGTTTCCAAACGAAATGGCTCCACATCAACGCCTGAAGATAAAAGGAAATCACAACTTTTTTTTTCTTTTTCTTGACTTCGCTTAATCTCCACTGATATTAGGAGTATCCTTTTTAAGCGAGCCCCAGCCAAAGAAGCTAACAGCAGGTACTGTAGCACAGTTAAAAGACCAAAAGTATTCAATTTACAAACATATCGTATTATGTAAAATAAATACATGTAGATAAGTCAGAGCCAAGTACTCTAACTGACAGTAGGGTAAGTCAGAAATGGCAAAAAAAAACAATGTACGCTTAACTTTTTCCTTAACAATATTCCCTTCATTTGAATTGGTCCCAAATAAAAACAAATGCTAAAACCTGTTTACCTGTATTATCAAAATATGAAAAAAAAGCTATTGTCATATTTAGTGATGCTAATTTATATAAAATATTCTTGATTAATCCACAGTTACCCTGTGATCTAACAGTTTAAAAGCAAACAGTCCATCCAACCATAGATGTACAGCACAGTACAATCTGTAATGAGTGTTTGAGAAGCATGGGACAGGGACAGTAAACCATGTCAATCATATGAAGAGAATGCAAAAAAGAACAGACAGGCCACAGGCACTAAACACCAGTAAAGATGAACAAACGCAGCAACAAAGGTCTGTGAGACTTTGGCAGGAATGTGGAGCTGAGATATATTAGGAAAGAAAGGACAAAGAAAAAAAAATACATCAGCTGAGACAGAAGAGGTGAAATGACAGAAAAGGAGTTCAAATAACGACTCTGAACAGAGAGAAAATTAACCATTGCTTTCATGTGTGTGTGACTGTGTGTGTCTCTCTTATTTTATCTGTCACATTAACAGGTTTATTCTTCCAGGGGGAGCAGGGTAACCATGTGACTCATGTCTCCACAGACATCGGATATTAAACTGAAATGAAAGCAAACACGCTCACTTCCACGTATGACCTTGGAGAGAAAATGCAATTTAGAAAAAAAAAAAAGAAGCATCCATTGGCGTTGTTCCTGGCTAAAGTGTGTGTAAGCAGGTGGTAATTTAGACAACAAAATGACTCTTTCATGGTTGTTTCTGCTTTAGCATCTGTGCCTGGTGATTTCCGCCTCACATTACTGGTGTAGTAGTGAAAAATTTGACCAGAGGTCCTCTGGTGTCTATGTGCCAAAGCATCAAGAGTAATTAACCACCGAAGACAAGTGCAATTTCCTGTTCAAAGAAGATTGAAAGCAGCTGGTAGAAAATATCGACACATTTCTTATATTTTACAGCAGAGGAAATTAATTCCTGGAAATTACATTAATTCTGCATTGGTTCTTTGCCTGCTGTGGCAATTTTCTTTGCTCTGCTTTAAATGTGAGCAAAAAAAAAAAAAAGTTGTCTCATGACTCATTGGCTTAGTGGCGAATAACTCCCAGCTGACACAGGAAACTATTATGGACTGGAGGTTTTAATAAAAGTTGTTAGTCTTTCTAAAAATGCAATTAAAACCTGAATTGCTAATTTGATAATTGCACTCAGAGTACTTGAGATTTTTAACCAAATCTATGAACAACCAGGAACATACTTGATAAATCAGGGAACCAGGCACGTACTGAGTTAAATTCTCTTTTCATTTGATTACTTTTTTTTTTTTTTTTTTAATTTTCTACTAATTACATCTTGAATCGTGTTGGAACTCAAAATACTAAAAATTACAGTTTTGTAAATATCATGTAAACATCTGTCTATTGTAGTTGGGAAATTATATATATATATATATATATATAAACAAGCAATAATTAGACAAGTTGGCTGATTTTTTTGACAATATCCAATTTCATTTCATTTAAATGTGTAAAAGTTGCAAACATATTCCTTGTTGCTCAAAGAAGCCTTTACAATCAAGGGTTAAGCTGAAACCTAATATTAAAAAAAGAACAATTATTTGAAAATTTGAAAATAATGAGAAGCTCCTTATCAGAAGAATGTTTCACTGTAAAAAGAACAAGATAAATCTAAGAGGAACAGTGCAGGGATGGATGTTGATATTAGAAAGATGAATGGACAGGACGGGAGGAGCTCGTTGTGTGAATACAGAATGGAGAGATGTGATCACACTCGGGCAGCACGGCCTTGCAAAATAAATAAATAGACTTTAAGAGATCCCGTCAGCATCCATGCACTCAGGCTTGAATTTATTCATGGGCATATTCATAATGCATGCACACAGGATGAATGAGTTGCCATGCATCTGTCACTGAACACGTTTTCATCCACATCATGACTTGGTGAAAACTACTGTACGTTTCCTCCATGGCGCTCGGTCCGTGTGATATACGCCGTAAGCACTGACTGATGAGAGAACGTTTTCTTTAATGAGCCTCCAGTGGGTGAGTGGATTCACCCTGAGGTAGAGCCAGTTCCTCACATTACACCGCTGCTGATGCTGTCCGACCATATCTGAGGTGTACAGCATCACGGTGCAGCTGACGGATGCGTGTACTATGTGTGTGCACTTACACTGTTGGTTTACCTGTGTGTGTTTGTCTGTGCAGTATGATTGGACCTGTCTGCATTGCTTATATCGCTCCTTAATCACATGGTCTGGTGAGTGCCTGTGTCTGTCTGCCTGCTGTTCACCACTGGTTGAAGGCAGACTCTGTTATAATGGGCACTTGAAGTCCAGTCCCACTTACTAGAAAGACAGACCACCCAGATGACCCTTATTTTAAACATGAACTTGGATCATTTTGCCTAAAATGGCTTTATTATACTACTACTCAGAAAGTCTTATGTCATATGTGACAGACACTTATTGAGCACCCATGCTCTGGTCTGTGAAGCCACAGGTGCAAATAGACTCAAGACAAAAGTGTCCATCATCTGTGCTGAAAAACAAGCACTGACCTTGTTGCTGTTTGCGGCACCAGTCCTAACTACTGGCTCCCCATGCAGCCCTTTTTGAGTCATCTCTTTCTTGTAAAATGTAATTACCAGTCAAATGATATTAAAAAGCGACAGAGATGGATGAGAAGATAAAAGATCATTGCTGTACTGCATTAAGACAAGGCACTAAAAGCACTGGCAGATCACTCTGTGTAGGTGAGCCGGCAGTGAGACATCAAATTATCTGTCTGAATATTAATGTGCCATGAGACACATTTATATTCTTGACATTTTGGGTTCATACACTTCAGATGTGATCATGTGATGCCAGCGAGCTTCGATTCAAATTGTTTTAGTCTTTATACTACATTTAATTAAGTTTCCTACAATTTGAGTATCATCCTCTTTATATATAGGCTGTTGTTGTGAAAAAAAGATTTAAATACTAATGTTTCTTTCTTAGACACGATACTTCCCAGTCAACACCTCCTGAACTGTTAATGCTTGACCTGTTCCATTTCAACACAAATGCTTCTGAATGATGCCTTCTAAAATATTGTATTGTTATATAGTTATTATTACTGTTATTATTAATAATAATATAATTCAGAACTGTATGTCCAAAATACGAAAAATGTAGGCACTTATTATATATGTTATTAACATGTAGTGACGTGATTAAGAGAGTGATTAACTTGTAACCGCTAATAAGCAAAACAAGTCAGTCATGTTGCCAAACACATAATTAAAAAAAAAAACAGGTTATTTTGGTGATTAGATATCACATGCTGTCTGTTAGATACCAAAGCAGATAATTACATGTATAAAATGATAGCAATGACTACAAATGTGTCTTTTATATTGAATTATTTTTCACTGAACAAGACTCTGATTATAATTAAATGATTCCATAACCAACGGTCTCTTTACAAGCTTATAAATCTACCTCTAAGAAATCTATCTGAAGCAAGTACAAGGAAAATTACAGTTCCACTTATTACCTCTAGATGTCCCCACAGGTAAATCAAGCCTCCTCTTCCTGTCGGAGGCTCCCTTCTCTCCCTGAACATTACTCTCTTCGACTGTTTACATGGTCTAAGGCGGAAGTCCTGAATCTGTAAGTATATAATTCAGGAAAATTCAATGTATTATCATGACCATATTATATGCTATTTTTCTGTTGTCAGACGAAAAAAATAGCGCTACTGTGCGTCATGTTATCTGGTCAGAATAATACGTAACCAAGCGTTTGAACCGTTAAATTCACCTTAACACCGCGTAGTTACACTACTACTACAACGGTAATGCCCATTTTCAGTTTTTTATGTATATTTAAATATATATATACACACATAGGTATACCACATTTTGAGCAGAAAGAAAATATGTCATGTTTTTTAACTTGAGAAAACGATTGATCAAAAAAGTAACTAAGTAAAAAAATGTTTTACCAAAACAGAGATCAATAAAAAAAAAAAAAGAACTTGTTTCAGTCCTTTGACAAGGCAACAACAAAAAAGCAGAATGTGACCTGGTATGGGAGACATTCCCCAAGATGGTTACAAAGAAGTGCTCACTTTGGTAATGGGTTAAAAGCAGAAATCACATTTTGTTGTGTGCAGTGGTGTGCTGTGCCACAATGGTAAATAATTCACTTTCAATGGAAAAGAAAAATAACCTTACTTTGTTTTTAATGATTTTGTGTCTTCTTTGAATGCCAGCCATGGATAAAGAGTTGTCACCTTTGGACTGCCTGCTGCCCTCAGGTACTACAGTTGCCTATGACACACATAACCAGCTGTTAATGTACAGATAAACAAATATTTTTAAATAAAATGTAAAATCAGTACTGAAATATTGTGATTATTATGAGAAAATACACAAAAGATGAACTAAGTATTTAACTATCTAAACAGACAATAATAAATTTACTTCAGCCTTAATGGAGTTAGTCTTGTTCTAAAGACTTTTCATTAGCAGAAGGTTAACACGTCAAAGTGTTTATGGGATTAACTACTAAAAAAGGGAGAAGCTGGAAGCAGACACAAATGTCAATATTAACCACAAAACTGCATGTTTTTGCAGGTTCGGTTCTTTAACAGGCAATTTTGTAAACTTGTCATTCATAACTGACAGCTGATTATAGCTTTGTTTAGGGTGTCAGTCATTCAACGATGCCCATAAGGCTGCGAAGTAGCTGGCAGTTTAATTTTTCACACAGTAGATTTAAAGGTGGATATGACTAACACATGTATACTAGGATCATTATTTTCCCTGTGGAATCTTCGTTTGGTGATTCATTTACCCAGTGGTGACCCAACAGTTTTTGCATCTGTTCTACTAACAAAGGCGTAGACAAAACTCCAGATGGTTCCGTCTGCCTGCAGCTTCTGCTCTCAAACTTTATGTGACCTCCATACCAATGCGCGGATAAGTGCGGAGGAGGGACACGAGCCTAAGGGCAGGTTTTACAGGAAAATATAAAGGTCAGGGAGATTGTACAGCATTTTGGCCAGTAGAGCAGATGTCCCCTTCTTCGATCATGTCTGTCTTGTCTTGCAACCTCAGCAACAAAATTAAGTAATGTTGAATGTGTTAGATAGTCTACATTAGGCCTAGTTTCTGACTCTGAAATAAGCAGGTTCAGAAGAAATCAATAATGTACTTCCTGTTAATAATGTTTTACATTTCTTCAGGGGAATCACTGGCAAAAACTGTCTGATAAAATTGTTGTGAATGCCATTTAATAATAATTTAAACCCTTGGTATATTACACTTTTGGACCTTTTTTAATACCTGCATTTTTGAGGTTATAATTCAATTAACTGTCAGATAAGTGATAATTTAGATTAGGAGACACATTTTGTGCAAGCCTTGATTTTAACTGGACTGATGTTCTTAAGTCAGTAGGTGCAAATCTAAATTATGTGTTAATTATGCATTTTTTCCTTGTTTCTTCCCTGTGTTGTTTAACTCCTTTCATCTCTTCTGACTGCTGTTATTGCATTCACCTACACAAATTAGTAACAAGAAGGCCAAGATCAACACAATGCTGATTGAAGTCCCACCTCCCTGCACCTCCCACACTGCACATTCACAGCTATTACTTTAAAAATCCACTTAATATTATTTATTAAAGCACAATGAATCCATCTGCTATTCCCATCAATCAAAAACCAGTACAATATTGTCACTTTGACAGTGTAGTTTAGGGTATCACGTTTTGTGCAGACTATAAAAAAAAGATACAATAAAAAAAAACTTAAAATAGCCAACAGAATCTGCAAATCTTTTTTTGTGTCTGCCTCTAAAGCATTGATTCCTAATGGTAGTTTATTGGGTGTGAAAAATACCTTAATTGGTCTGAAAAAAAAAATTGATGCTAAATGTGTGTGACTGTAATAATGCAGTCTTCTGTCAGACTTCCTTACAAAGACAACCCAAGTTGACATTTATTTGAACAGGCTCCAAAAAAGACCTCACTCTGTTTCTCACATGTATGTATAGGGGTGGCACTTGTATGTCAAAGGGTTATCAGAAAAGTCACGGCTGGTTGGGTTTGTGTTCCATTCCGTTCTCCATACCTCCAGCCAATTAGAAGACAAGACTGACAAATCTACTCCTCCCTACTTTCCCCTGCCCGTCCATATACTAAATCTTCCCCTTCTCTGTGTTTCCTCATTCTTTCTCCATGTCCCCCTCTATTTTGTCATTCTAGTCTGGGGTTGAATTTCATTAACAAATGACCCACAAGTGCTGTGAACTCTCAACAACATGAATCCTGTCGCTATTAGAAAGTCACAAACCAGAAAAGCATTTTTAGATGTCATTTTTCTAGGGCAAATTTCTTCAAAGCAAAACAGATATATTCTGTCCTCTTCTTGAATAACCTAGGTATCAAAAATTTGGAAAAATTTTACTTTAGAACTAAGGACATAATGAAAAGCGTTAAATACAACCTTATGTAAAGGATGGAAAGAATTTCCCGAAGGTAACTCCCAAGGGATTCATAAAGTGCTATCTATCTATCTATCTATCTAGGAACTTTATCTTTTATTGTCACCACCTATGCTCAATGTACTATAATTTTCAAGAGCAAATGGATATTTTCAATGTATTTCACACAGGATCTGCAGTACAAGACAGAAGCAGGTGTTTAAAGAGATGAATGGACAAATCAATGAAAGGAAGAAAATAAGGTCTGACTAAATGACATGGAAAAGGAGCCACAGACAATGGTTCATTCATTTGGTAGCATTAATTTTTCTTTTTAAGCCTTCGGCAACATTGTAACTTTTCTTTTTACTTATACAGTAGCAACAATGATTCTGAAATTCAAAAAGGATTTTATCCTAAAGCCTTCTTTGAGATTTTTGTCTTGAAGCTGGTCAATTTGCCATTTTTATTTGTCTTTGTCAATTTTCCAGGCACGCTAAGAATCTGTTTGATTATTCTGAACCAGCCTATTGATGAGGACTACCTGCGTGTTCTCTGGAATAAAGGTGAGAAGCAGACAAATGGACTCTTCTGTGTTAATTAATATGGGTTTTCAGAGGTTTTGACTGTGTACATTGTCTTCTTTGTAGTCATGTACCTCCAGCTTTCTAAGTAAAGATGTTAAAAATCTTAATTCATGTCATTTTACTGTTTCTTCCTTGCCTGGAGGTTCTGACATTTGTTAGTAATGAAGTTTCAGACTGAATCTACTCTCTGGAGATAGAAATTATTTTCTCTTGAGCAATAAGACCTTGTATTTCTATTTTAAATCAATTCCTGGTGCTGCATGACTGAAAGGAATTACTACACACACACACACTAAAACACACCAACTCACACACACACATACCCAGGGCATTCATGTAATAAATACGTTAATCACTTGATATTTACAAAAGTATTTGTAGCAGTTAAAGTTTTACGTTAGCAACGCAGACATTTTCATAGACCAGAGGCCCCCAAACCTTTTGGCAGTGCACCCCCTTATATATTCCAACCAGGTTGATACACCCCTAATTCTCCACATCTCATATAAAGGCACCATGATTAATTATGCTCAAATAAAGAGAACACGTATTAAACAGAATAGTCGAATAGTCAACACTGCACTCACACTTGCATTTGCATTAATTTGAACTAAACTGAACTTTGACACAGTAAAATCACACCAAAAGAAAACATGCTGCCATCACGTATTTAATCTTGTGCACCCCCTAGTGGTAGATCCACTGTGGCAGTTCCTGTCATAGACATACTGTATTTGTTTCTATTTGTTTATTTGTTCATCAAAGATAATTTGTTACATATTTACCACTAACTTATGCTTCTAAAACATTCATTGGTAAGGCACTGGGCTTGTTTTTTTTTTAGGAATTCCGTAGAATGTTTTTCTATATATGCACAGCAGGGAACACACAAAAAAATATTTAAAAAAATACTTCTAGTAGATTTATTGCCTCGTACTGTTTTGTTCAAAAAAACTAAGTTGATACTGTACATTCTGCACAACACAATCTCTTAAAGTTTCTACTTCAGCAGTTTTGGAGCAACAATCCTGCCCAAGGACACACATTATTGTTCAAGATGCTGGTTACAAGCTTGCTGGAAGTAAACGTAGAACGTCCTTATGGGAGATTAGCAATTACACAGCTGGATTTTTTCCCCCTAATTTTAAGAGAGTTTTTCAGCTCTAAAATTGCTCTAAAAAGCAAACTTTTTTTTTTTTCTGTGAGGGAATTTCCCAAAGAGTTCAATGAAGTTTTATGTTTCCTAATGGAATGTAGTCTAATCTAATCTAAACTCTAAACACTCCAAAGAATTACCTCAATTTGAAAGATGGACTGACCAACACAATAAAAAATAACATGGTTCCATTTATAAATACTATTTAAAGATGCCTAACACAGCATGCTTTTACAGCGTGCCCCTATTTGGCAAGCAGCGGGGGCAGGTCCCATGTATGTGATTTAATTTTCTTCTTCACTATTCATGAGGGCAACATTCAAACATTTCTTCCAAAACAAATACAGGATACAGACATGAATTTGGTTTTGATTTTTTTGTGTGAGTAGGTCAGGCTCCTCAATTAGGTCAAAGAGAAACATTACATCACTGAACCTACTCTCGAACTTTTTGGAAGTAAAACTACACTTTTTATAGGGAAATAGAACTCAAGGCTCCCTCGAGGAGTCTCTGGTGAGATGTATAGCAGTTGTAACTGTGATTCTGATTAATTTAATGCACAAAGTAGATCCCTAAAGTTAACCATACTTCATCCTACAGTCATTAACAGGGTAAAATGACCTGGGTTGAACTATATTAAATAGTGACGTAAGAGCTGTCTTGGTTTAGGAGTTCATAACAGTTTTTGACTACGACACTTTGAAATAACAATAAATAAAGCTGCGGGCAACTCATGTGGAAAGAAGGTTAGGTAACGAGACTTCAAACGTCAAGGCGCATATGTGATTAAAATCCAATCAGATTAAACTTAATGAACACAGCTTCTATATTTTTTTATCGTCTTTGCCAAAAACTCGAGAGGCACTTCAGCTATTTTCATCACACTGCAGTCCCCCGGTTTGATAGATGCCGCTCTTCTCGTTTATGCCTTTTTACTAAAAGAGCTGGAGAAAATACCATATTTAATGACATTTGACAGAGCAATTTCCTCATCCTATTTCACAGCAAAGGTTGCCTGCTGCCTCAAGAAAGAATTCTTTGGGGAGTGTATTAAAAAAAACAAGACCACGATATGAAGGTTTTTAATAGCTGCTCATACAGAAAGGATTTTTCTTAATCAATTTTAAGATGTAATAATTTTATATAATATGCTCAAGTCATTTTATTTTAAAATCTGCTCCAACATCAGTTACTGTTATTGTGGAAATTATTTAAATGTGGGACTTTCAGAGGAATTGTGTCTTCATTATCACAACATGGACATGAGCTCCGGGAGATAATACAGAATAATATTCTGACTTCTATGACCGGTCCAACAATATAACTAATGGTAGATTTGATTTTATGCATTACAATTGTATCCCTCTTTTTTTGATTGATTCAATTCAAAAATTCAATTCACAGGAACAAGAATAAGTCATTTTTGATATCAGACAGGCAGCTGAGAGAAAGATTTCCACATTTAGACAGGGCTTCTTGTAGAAAAGTTTGAGAGAGGTTTTGGGCACTTCCTGAAGTGCCACAAGCGAGGTGGCAGTGCTGTGATGTGGATGTCAGAATTTGGGAAGTTTTCTTGATCAGTTTTGCTCCTGGTGCACATAAGACTTGACAGGATGATGAGTGAGACTGAATGGCAATTCTGAGACCTCTAGTTTAATGATAAATACGCATCTTGCAATTTCGTCAATTCTCAATTGAAATACCATGCAATTTTAATGTTGTTTACGGGGTAAACAGATGTCGGTGTGCGTGAGCACGTCTGACAGTGCATTTCAATTCCTGGATGGTTGTTCACCTGAAGGCATCATGGCCAGGTCTCCACCCTCACAGACACAGACATCTGCCCACAGACATGCGCACAGAACCGTTCGGTCCTCTCCTGCGGCCCCCCAAGGCCCCCTCATCATCTGTGGTAGAGGTGGAGCAGCAGGGAGGCAGAGGTGCCGTGCAGGCTGGAGGAGCTCAACGCTGATCAAAGTAAAGCTCATTCGCAGGCACATAGAGTGGTGTTGTGAAGTGGGATCAAGCCGCTTATCTTGCCTGTGCATCCTTTCACTCATCTGGTCCATCAGTCAGCCACTTCCTCATCTAGTCTGTTACTTGTTCACTCAATCAGCCACTCATTTACTTTCCTGCAGATCCTTCACTTTCTCACCGTGCAACAACAAACAAGCAATTCAATAAAGCAATCAGCAAAGACGATTTCTTTCTACAAGACAAAACACTGTTTATTTCAAGTGCCTCATTTCATCATGCGTTGATGTGGAGCAGCTTGCTCGAGTTGAACTTCACCTATCCATCAGTCGAGTATCAGCCGTGCAATCAAGGCTGCCTGCATATTGTGCCGCATTCACCCTGCTTTCATTTAAATTAAGCACATGTGTCAGATGAGGCAAATGGATAGAGAAATCTTAGAGGAGAGAGTTGCTGTTTGGGGAAACTGATTGTTTGAAATCTTTGAACGGGATAAAAAACTATTCCTGTTCAGATGCTCAGTCAATAAGCAATGATTATAAATGGAAGAGTCAGTTGAATTGTGTTGTATAGAACTCCAAAGAGAACAGATGAGATTAGAAAAGTGGGCCTTGACTGGATCAAGAGGAATAAGACGTTAGTCCAGGAAATCAATCAAATACAAGGTAAGGCGTAGACAGCAAGGTGATTCTGACGACAAGGTGGTAGAAGAGCAGAGGTGGGCTGAGAGAATGAAGGGCACTAAGGCACCATTATGGATAATCATTTTTTTCCTCCACCTTTTATGACCATTTGACCTTTCCCGTACTTCTTACTTAAACTCTAACTTGACAGTTCTTAACACACACACACACTCTCAACTTAACCACTAGAGTAATAAAGAATATTCCACAACACAGCATGTTATTGGGTTTCTATAGGAAATATAACAACAATTTTTTAGTGTGTTAGTTGATTATAAAATATAGTTCAGCTCCTGAGGTCATCTCCTCAGATGGTCTGCTGCTCACCCCACACCACTATTAATAAAACTGTGTCTCTGTGTGTAATTTTCTCTTTTGAATATGAATGAGCTACAAAAGGTTGTAGTGACAGAATTAGGTAAACCTCAAATTATCAACTCCTAATTGATTTCACTGAAGAGTGAGTATTTGCAAACTCCTGGAAAAGTTAAAAAAAATGCAATAAATATTATACATTTAAAAATATTTTGATATCTAATAATTTCTAAAAACTTAATTAAAATGCAATATAATTAGCTATAGTTTAATATTTAAAACATCACGAAAAACACTTGTGCTATATGTGTTATAGTGTTGATAGAGTACCGTACATATCCAAATGTTTGGACACATTCTTACGGTATTCTCTTTCAGTGACTGATTGATGGTTCTCAATAATGAGTAATGGTTTATTATGCTGAAAATCTATGCATTCTGTCACAGACAGAGGCATTTGCATTTCAGACGTGACTCATCAACAGCATCTGGCGAGGGTTAGGGATCGAAGCAATAGCCAGTGCATGAGATACTTATTTGCATGTGAGGGAAAAAAAACTACATTCAAATCCTCTTACTTGCTAATCACTAAAGAAATGCAATGTTGGATCGACAGTGACAGGGAAACTAAATCCCTCCTACATTGTAATAAACACAGTTAACAAAATTTGACTTCCATGACTCCAAAAGTTTTTTTTTATATGTATAACTTATTGTAGTCAGTCATCACTATCACTCAACCTTTTCTATATAAGAAATAATATCCTGGGTTAAAGAGTGAAAGGGTTTTACAGATGGGTCAAAGGCAGAGAATATTTTCCCCCTTAAAAAAATAAATTTAGACTGAGAAAAGACTGTTGACTGAATATTTTAAAAAAAACAGCACACCTAGACATGTTTGCTCTTTGTGCCACAAGGAGTGCAATGTGCAAAAACAGATTGTAGTCTAAGTTTTTTTCATCTTAAAGGTGTAATTTTGGGTTGTTTTTTTTGTTTTTTTTTGCAAAAGAAAGATATTCGAGAAAGTAAAAAGAGTCACGAAACCATGAATTTGGACACAGAACCCTTATGTTTTACATATAATAGAATAGTAGCAACACATTTTATATTGTTTTTGAAGCTGTAGAAGAGTGGAGTACTTTGAGCAGATACTTTTTTGCATCTATATTTTTGTATAAATGCAATGAAATTCTCAATCTGGAGGCAAATGCAGGAAAATTACACCTTATTAAACCAAACCAAAAAATAACTACTGTTACCACACTTTGGAAGAGGCTTTAGTTTTGTTTCAAACAAGGTTAAAGTAGGGGAAAAAACATTTCTGATTCTTGGAGTTGTTTTCCCCAGTGTGATTCACACACACATCTCTAGACAGAACAGGGCTCTTAAAATAGGCTGCTCAATTTACCAGAATACAGGCCATCCAAGAGAATACATTTGCACATAGTTTAAATCTAATTTTCTGAGAACTAAAATAGCTTTTTTTAAAAATTACAAATCACTGTCAATTGGTCCATCTACAAACTCACAAAACATAAGTGCTTTTTCATTGACTTTGCCTTTTCACGGTCATATTACTTTGTAACCGCAATGCAGTTCAGATTTGTGTGGTGTGCAGTGTGTTATTTGGTCTTCTATGTAATTTTGTCCTCATACAAACAGTTCCAATCTATGGTGGAAGTGATTAAAATAGATATTTTCATTTAATATGAATTCGATTTTTTATTCATTTTTCTAAAACAGGTCATTATGTCCCCCATGCTCCATGGAGATATATAAAAAAAAACACATAGCTGTCCGTCAATCTGTCAAAGGGGTTCCATTAGAGGCTGCAGTTTGTTTTTCATTATGGTTCTTTTAGTCAACGATTTGAGGTCAATGACTGATACATCTCACAGACCACGCAGTACAATACAAATACTGATACAACATGAAAAAACACAGTGTTTATTATGTGTTCCATCATTCTGGTGTGCTGCGTTGAAGCTTCCCAACTAGTTCACTTGGGAACTAGTTGGAAAACGACGTGGAATGTGGCTTTGTTTACATTCATTGGTTGTACACCTTACATCGGACTTCGCTTTCTTATTTTGTGTTGTTTTTTTTGGGTGCTGTTGTCTCTTTCACTATGGCTCCCAAGCATAAGTCTGACACTTCTGATGTTTATGTCCTAGATCATGATGTTACCATGGTGAAGGTGAGTGACATAGGTACTAATGTACAGTATGTGAGTTCAGACTTACGTATTGTTCTCTTATGGAACAGCCGGAAAGTATTTAATGTCTTCATCCTAACGTAAAACCATACACTGTTCAAAGCACACAGGTTAACTTGTAATAGCAGAAATGTGACTTCAATAAAAGGTTATTCTCACTGTGAACTAATGGCTTTAATATAAACAGACTAATGTGTCACTTGTTCCATCTGTGTCTGTGTAGCTCTCCTGAGGGCGTGTGCTGATGGAGCTGCCAATCACTTATATAACGTCACTGCTGGAGACCGTGACAGGTAAGTCTATCTTGTGCACGCATACAGTACGCTTTAGTTAATTTGTGTTTTCCCTAGTACGTCTCTTTCTTTCTCTCTCTGCGTTGGTGCGTCATTATTCTGTTGTGTAGCTCAGTGTGTGTATGCACGGTCGTGTAAGACCATTTGTGTGTGTTCTAGGTGAGATAATGCAACTTTGGAAAAGTGCAAGTGTGTGCTCTGCGGCCAAATGTGTGTGTGTGGCTAATGGAAGACAGCTGTCAGGAGAGAGATGGATCTGGGGCTCATCAGTTCCCCAAGGTGTTGAGGCTTTCACATTAACACCAAGAGTGTGAGCAGGCCTGACTTTTACAGCCGGGTGTAAATGTGATGTTGTGTGTGTGTGTGTGGCAGTGTGCATGTCCTTATAATGTTCTTCTGCCTTGGTGTAACCATTTACGTACATATGTCTGAGGACCTGTCCTCTATGCTAACGGATGTTGTCTAGACATTTTCAGACTATTTCATTTTCATCAATTTCAACATTGATAAATTGTTTTGTGTTATAATATTGTCAAAACCCTGAAAACATTGACTAGACTCATTTAAGACTAGACTCATTTAAGACTAGACTCAAGACTAGGCAGTGATATTATAGTAAAAGGCAACTGCATCACAGGTTTTTGTTTTCTTTCCTTGTAAAGATTGACTAATAAAAAATAGGGACATCTAGTGGTGATATTACAGAGCCCAACAACATAGATCTACACTCAGACTTGCTGTCTGATAAACATTGGACAGTGCTCCTCCATCACCCTGGTGAGTTCAACAGAGGCATCACCCCTTTATGACACAGCACATCTGTCTTCTGACTTTTCATTCACAGCTTTGTAAGCAGTCTCTATGTTGGATAGCCAGACCACCCTTATAGCAAAGACCACGAAAATCAGTTTGTGTCCCAGAAATTATTCGCTGCAACTGAATAATGGGCACTGCATTTAAGAAACAACCAAGTGTAGGGGTAGAATATGTGTAAATCATCACATGAGGACATTAATCATGAGCAAGTTAAGATGTATTTAACCTATCATTACCAGAACTAATGGACTATGTAGAAGAAGAGGACACACACACACACACACACACAAGGGCGAGTCAAATGTGTGCAATCCATGAAAGCCAAGTCTTATATGAAGGATTTTCTGAAAATCAGTGTTCCTATGTAAACAAACTGACCAAATTGGTGCATATTTAAATATATATATATTTATATATATATATATATATATGCAGTATATATAGTCTCATGTTCGTATGCGGCGCTCATAGCTTGTTCATTTAACCAGAAATTAAGACTTGTATACACAATTCTGACCATTATTTTGCCCATAATGATGTGGTACACTTTTAGACGGTTATTTCTGCCTGTGTGTCTGTAATGTTCTGCTCAGGGTGCACCCAACAGGTTCTTGAATTCAGAGTAATTACTGTCATTTCAAGCTGTTCATAGTACCAAAACAGAAAAGCCCTTTTTTGCTAAAAAAAAAAAAAAAAATCAAGAAGAAGTTAGGGCATTGTTGGGCTGGAGGGGAAAGACGTCTATGTGTTGAGTAATTTAATATTTCTAAGAACTGATATTGTTCTGACTATAATTACCCATAACGCGCAAAATCTTTCTAATCTTCCTTACAGTAGTTCTCAGAAAATTCGCTACATGCAAGTCAAGTCACTGCAGAGACAGTTTTTTCTCCCCTACAGATGCCAGGACCAAAAATCTTGAGTTCAGAATATCAAAACTGGGATGTAGGGCTTTTGATGAAAACACCCAGAGCAGAGCCAGCTCTGCATCTAAGCTGAAGCTTTCACATCAACAGATTCATGAAAGGACCAGTTCACAGCAAACTCCTGCAAACTGACAAAATGTACTGCCTTCACTGCAGGGGAAAATGTTGACTTTTAGCATCCAATTTTTTGAAAGGCAACAGGAACACTTGACAGCCTTCTGCACTGTTACTGCATTTAATTCATGTTTTTTTTTTTAAGTAAAGTAAACACAGAGAACATGTACTGACACTGATGATTGCAACAAAAAACAATTACTGGGGTCTACTTAAAGAAAGGATTCTGACAAACTTGTTTGTATTGAAAATTATGCAAAAAATTAAACTTCTGATCACAGCCCTTTCATTTAACAAATGAGGTAAATGCTATGTCACTTTCTGTCAGCAATGCAGGATGGCTGTTGTTGTTTCTCTTCACAGCTTGCACAAATTTTATATCTAATGGACAATTACAGGGCTTCAAGCCTTTCTGAGTTCCATGTGGCCTTGGCCTATACTGTACTTAATAACATATCATTTTGTTAGGTGCTAGGTCATATCATAACTGAGGTTTAACTAAACAGCGTGTGGCTATTTGTCAGATTGTGCCTTTGATCAAGCTTAGAACATAGAAAATAAATCATTTAAGACATTCTGAAAACTGAGTCGTGATAGTTGTACAAACAAGTTTAAACATGGATATTCACTCGTAATTAGATATTTACATTCCATTTCTGAGCAAATTTGTTGCAGATACAAACCAAATATACACAACAACGTTGCATATTGGTTTGTCACTTATTGCTTTTGCACCACTTAATCATATTTTGTCACAGAGCTCACGGCACCACTTGTTTTCATCAGCCCAGTTATTGTCTTTCTCACATACTTACTATTGTTGCCCTCCAGACTCCATAGTTTCTCTATTACGTACTGATTTGAAAATTCCCTTTTGTGTTCATTGCTCTGGTTTGAAAATTGATACGTTCACCGGAGCTGATGAGAATTCTAAACTTCATTTCTAATGCAAGCACTTTATGCTTTGCGTTTTTGTCAAGTAGAGTGTATTAGGATTGTTACAATGATACGACTGATCAAAAGCACAAGTACACATATATACGCTCTCTGCAGAGTACAACAAATAGAGACATGGAGGTTAATTAACTAAGATTATGTAGTTTAAGTGGTGTATGGATTTATGAGTCTCTCTACTTATTAGTGCCTGTAGACATCAAGATGATTACATTTTGATTAGACTCTGGTGATCTACACGCTGGGATTTGTGGCTTTGACAGGCACACACATACGCCTTCACTATCACATCATACACCCAACCACGTGCAAGCAGGTGTTTTTTGGGGTTTTTTTTTTTTGTTGTTGTTTTTTTTTCATTTTAGTTGTTTCAATACAAGCACTCATTAGCATATTAAATACACACCAACATGTACTGCCAGCAAGCTCACACTTGTTCCTAATTAGAAACCCTCTCAGAGGGATTAATTGGCTTCTCTTTGCACTGATATGAGGATAAGTATTGTAATGCTCACATTCATAGTAGATAGAAATCTACTAGAAAGCACATCAAACACATGACTCAAGACAAGGCCTTATATGAGAAAAGCAAATAAGCTAGAAATATTATCTGATCAGGGACAGATCAGATTTATCCTCTGTGTACTTTATATCAATTACCATGTAATTTGAAGCGTCAAACGTGACAAAGGGTTTTGAACATCACCATTGAAATCAATGTATCAGCAAATCAATACTTAATAGGTTTTGTCATCGCATAAAATCCAAAATATTAAACTGGTTTGCCCCCCAGGCTCAAAGAGTTTTCCAAAATCAAGACTGGGTCCTTTCTCCAGTATGAAATAAAGGGGTTATCACAGCCTTTTCTTTACTAGTGTAGAAATTGGATATTGTGCCAGGAGAAGAACAGAATACAAATAAAACAGTTTGTTCAAATGTAATTTTCACATGGATGATAGAGGATAATGACGCTGCAATTTAAAAAAAAAAATCAGACTAGCTAATACTAACAGAAGTAATAACATTCATGGAAAGACCATTTACTCGCGGTGAAGTGGATAGATTGATGGAAATTACCTTAATTACACAGAAAAGTAAGTACTTCAGAGGAGAAATGAGAGCAGACCAGAAGCTGCAAGAACAAGGTATCTGTGGGAGAACAGAGACGGGTGACGAGGCAGAAGGAGAAGGTGTGGCAGAGGAAGGATGACAGACAAAGCACACACACAAACACGAGCAAAGGTCACACAGCCATCTCTGCCACATAATATTCAGACAAACTGCTGGTAAAATGCCCTATTTCCTATTCAAATTAAAGTGTCAGTTAATATTAATGTGGAAGTGAAGACTGTCAGACACATCACACGGTCACACACTCACTCTCTCTCACACACACAAAATATATTCACAAAGATGCATCATGAACGCAAACCCAGAATTTCAGATCCTGCCTGCTCAATTACCTCCAGCCAGAAGAGTCATGCACATAGGTCAATGAGGGAAATGTGTGTGTGTGTGTGTGTGTGTGTGTGCATGTGTATGTGTCTCTGTGTGTTTCTGTATAAAGCTCTGATCAGGCTGTAACGTCTACTCCCATCGTGTCTGTCACATGAAGGTTATTCCTGACTTGAAATGTAATGGTTTGAAAAGTGGACAAGTGCACATGGGTGACTGCTTATTTGTCTGTCTATGTATAACTGAAAGAAGTAAAAAAAATGTATATGGCTGTGTACTATTACACATAAAGGAAATGCATGTTGAAGAAAAGTTGTTTTTTTTAAAAAAAAAAAAAAGAATCTTGTAGTTAGTATGTCCCAGGCAATACCTGTACTTGGACATGCTATAAAAAGGGTTAAAAACATTTATCTGGCTATGAATTTATAGAAAAAGAGAATTAATACCGAGTCCTCACAACTGAACACCATTAAAAAAAATGACATAAAAGAAATGAGATGGTTTCAGCTATAAGAAAGTCCCTAAAATACTCTGGTTGACACCAACTGAAATTTTGCTTTCAATGCTTTCTTTGTGTGTGCAAACAAACTCCATTACACAGCCAACCATAACGTCAGACCTGTTAAAGCCTCAAGATCACAGCAAGTGTGTCCCATAACTGAGCCTGCATATGACATGTTTGCACATGAAAAAATGGAAAATTAGAAAGAAAAATCTGTATGTGCCTGAAAGGACTTTAGTGTTTATAATTTGCTGCTTGATAAATTGCTCTTAAACAAAACCTCCAACGAACCTTAATTGAAGAACTTCAGCACAAAAATACAGGAAATTCATTTAAATTTAATTATTTGGATGAAATAACACTGAAAAGCACACAAATTCCCATAACCCCTGCTTTGTTTTCTCAGTTGTAATCCCCTGACTGCATGTATTAACATATAATTTTTACTACATTTATGCTTTTAGTAATTTATAAAATTTTGTGTTGTTAGCTTGAATGCATTCCTGAACTTGTGAAAAGGAATCGATTTGCATTCATTTTCTGCCAACAAGCAGTGTTTATCAATTATATTCCACTGCATTAACAGGTGAAAACACAGTCTTCTTGGTCTTCTTAGCTAAGCTAACAATGCTATTCAGATATATAGTTTTACTCCCCATTTATATTCAACCACAATTAAACTTGTTTAAACTAAAATGGCTCGATCCATTAGCTTTTATTTACACAACATTTAACTCCTGTTTTTTATGGATATGTTTTAGTTATTAGGAAGTCGAGGGACAGTGTCTCCCAATTACCCTGATTCCACCAAGTACGGCTGGTAATGAGGCATTTTACATGAAATCATCAAATTCACCAGTCATTCATATGAGAATAAATGTGATACTATAGTGTAAGACAGCTAGGGGCAGAATAATCACCCTGTCAGTCTCTGTCTCTTCATCCTCACCCAGCAGCACCTTCTCTCTCTCTGGTTTCACAGATCAAAGAACTGATACCAGTCCCCATGTCTTCTCTCTATCTCTCGTATCGCTGACTTACATACAATGCCTCTGTCTTTTTTGCAATCCTAACCCTATCCCTCTTTCTCTCATCCTCTTTGTCTAACCTTATATCCAGCTTCCTCCCCGACTTTATCAATGGGGATTTTGATTCCATCACCACCAAGGTCAAAGATTTCTATGCCGACAAGGTGAGTTGAAATACAACTTTCATACTCTTGCAGACCTGGAGGTGCTCTGACTTTATGCAGACTAATACAAATGTACTGGCAGGAAAAAACAAACAAAACATTTCTGAGTCTGAAGTCTATTACAAAGGCAGCCAATTATTGAGATCAGTTTGATTTAATTATTGTATAAAAATAAAAAATAAAATGTATATAATTATTAATTAAGATGTCAGCTTTTGATTTTACATTTTACCATGGCTTACCGTGTTTATTTACACATCTTTATTGTTTTGAAAAATCCAACTCAAAAACAGTATCACATTTTTTGTCTCCCGCAGCCCCTAGTGGCAACTCATGTGTGCAACACACTTAGATCCATAATTAAAAGAAGAAAATTAAGTAGTTGATTAGACATCAACCTAATTAACCACCGCAATAATTAGTACCCAACCTAATTTACTGAACACTATAATATACACAGTATGTATTCATTCCACACATCTACTACTACAAGATCTGAAAAAGATGCTGTTTAGAAAACCTACAGCTCACAGTGAGAAGCCACATGATGAGATTTTGCTGTACACTGATGTAGCACACGCTACTGCCTAGCCAAGACGCTCAGTACTGTAGGTGAACCTGGCACTTCACCAGCTGACAAGGTGAATGAACGATACAGCAGTCCTGAAGAAGTATTCAATAAAGCGGAGCTGGAAATGTTGTTTTGAGAACCCCTTCATCAGAACTTGTAAAGATGGGTGTAATTGACATACACTGTGAGACGAAATATCAGAAATCAATAACAGCTCACGTTTCAGCGACCTGCACTACTCCTGTACACCGTGTAGTTTTTCTGAATCCGTTACTTCCAGTGGCCCTCTGATGACATCATCATCTTAGCTCACCGTGTCCTGAGCCGTAGCAAACAACTGCTCACAACTCACCGCTAAACCCACCGAGGTCATAAAAATGAAATGAAAGTCCTTCCATCAAGTGGACTGGCCCATTGTTTATAACGAGCAAAATGTCAAAGCAGACCACTTGAGGAGAAGTGAAGCTCGGTTCAATAAATGATAACTACAGGGTAAGGTGTTAGACACACTCACGCAGGCGTTCACAGACACACACAAACACACTTGCCACACACCAGCAGGCATGCACAGAGTAGTGCTGGTGTGATCCCTGAGCTGTGCTACTGTGTGTTTCTGTGATCAGACAACTGCTGATGTAGAGTGTTTACAGTCTGAAATTTATGAGTGGTGTTTCATCACTCACACACAGAAACACACACACATACCCAATCGCAGATACAGTGCACAGGTTCTGTGGGCTGCCTTTGACTGTGACATTGCTTTCATGCCGCATCCTTTTCCTTTCACTGTAATTTTAATCTCTTTTTTTTCCACAGATATCTCAAAAGTTGCTAGAAAAGAAAAAAAAAATCTTGCCAGGAGTGAACAGGCTGTTATGGTAATGCTTTGAGAGTAGAACAATATGAAAGTTTTAGCTGTTCCTTTGGATATTCGCGGAAAACGGTGAATAATTCTGCATAAATGGCAGGAAGAGAGCAGAAACACATCCGAGAGGGCGACAAAGGGAGAGGGAGGGATGGTGAGACGGGGGGCGGGGAGACGGAATGGAAGGGATCAAAGCGAGCACACTGAACAAGTTTCTGTGAAGCTATTGTACTTTGTGTGTGACCGTATTTCTTTTGAAGAGAGAAAACTAGTGTGTTATACAAGGAAAGTGACAAAGAAGGAGAAAAAGCTAACGCTGGGTTGTTTACCTGAATGCTGAAGTTTAAGGCCACTGTCTGAAAAACCTCTACATTATTCACAAACGCTGCCTGCAGACAGCCAGCCAAGACTAAAACAGCCACCTCTACTTCCTCTCTATGTTTACTTTCTGCATTATAATTTTAACCCCTCATGTTTATCTGTCTGACCCAGGGTTGCAAGCTGATTGAAACATCTGACCAGGACCTGACAGACTTCACCAAATGTCTTGCGATCACAGTAGAGGAAATTCAGAGGAGACAGTTGCAGGTAAAACACTATGTGGACATCAGAGAGAATCTGATGGTTTCATTATATGAATTTTAATTATTGTTTTATTGACATTTCTAATAAGTCCAACTTTAAAACCTTTGCTCCAGTAAACATTTTGTTGCGTTGAAAAAGTTGGTTTTGAAGGACATCCTTTCTGTGATTAACTGTGGTTTGATCACACAGGATTTTTTTGCAGCAATCTTCTTTTAAATGCAAATTAAAATCTGGCTTTTTGATTTTTGAATCTCCTGAGGGTTTTGTACCTTTTACTGCCTCTGTGATTCTGCTTTGAAGTTCTTCGGAATAGTTAATTGCGATAACGTCAGTATTTTTACCTTTGCCTTTCTGTGGTTGGTACCAACTCACTAGCCGTGGATTTTTACAGCTCTATCTGCGCTCCTGTTGTCAGCCTCTATGGTTGTTTTTGATCGATCTTTATATCGTGCGTTGCTCAGTACAGTCTGTTGTATTGAATTTCTCTCCTTCTGATTTTTGGAGCAACTACAAAACAAGTTTATTTATATTTGTGTACCTCTTTGAAGTATAACCCCCATTTCTGTGTTGCTAGTTTCTTAACAAATAGTTCTTTAGTTACAAGTAAACCTGGGGCTAAGATTAGAAGCATAAATATATTTATTTGTTTAAGTCGGTCATTTTAGACAATCGTGAATTACATTCATCCGGTCAGGTTTGGCATCTCAATGAAGCAAAGTATTGTGAATCTGCTTGCTGGTTTGAAACTCAACAGCAAGAAGATTTGCTGCAAATCCATTGCCATTTCTTCACCTATTTCCTGACTTTTGTGGTATTGCATTATAATCCCAGAAAAGCCAAACCCAACGAGCACCCGTCTGCTAGATTATTTATTTTAAACTTTTGGCACACTCAGAACTTTTCCTAATCTTTTGATTTCGCAAATCCTGAAATTTATTTTTCTATGATGTAACTAAGCAAATTATCTTCGTATCTTTTATCTTTTTATGATTTGAATGAAATGTGTTCTGGGTTTGTCTTTTATTCACACAAGATCAGAACTCAATTTTGTACACAATAGTTGTTATTTATGTCTTGTGGCTATTTGAGGTCGACAGATTACTGGATGATGAAAAAGCCTTTCAGAAGCCGGTGTCGTAGGTCGGTCTGCTGTGATGTGACTGACATGTAATATTGTACATTCAAGCTTTAAGAGTAACCGTTTACATGCAAAGAAAAAAACAACATCCACAGAGTGAATTGTATTTTTAGCATCATCTCTTTGTGTATCTCTCTCTGCAAAGACAGAACCTTTAGTCTTTCAAAAACAAATTATCAGGGAAAAAACTATAGAAAAGCATTACAAAAGTGACAACACAAACTCTAAACTGTTTAACCTGCATGTTTTTAAGATTTATCGTGTTTCAAAACAAAAAGCATTTTTGAATTTTGATCTCTTTACAGAGAGAAAAGCATTCTCAAACAAACAGGCTTATCTCCAAAATGCCAAAGTGAGTTGCCTGCCAGAGCGAAGCTCTGCACTGAGCCAGCTGCTTCAGAGCCAGACACACACAGTGATGTCGTACACAGCTTCGACTCCAGCTTTATTCAGTCTCTTCAAACAATGAGTGAGTTGCACCAAATTCACGTTCTACGGTTAGCTGTACATTTCCTGACTTAAATCAGGATGATAGACAGTGATAACTGCGGCGTCGGAGCATTGTCTCCATAAAATTAAAAAGTTTTAAGTGTCAAGTCGAGTGCTTCTCCAATCACGGCCAATCACTTGACATGATGCAATACTGCGGAGAAGACGCTCACAGACACACAAACATGCCCTTAATCTTGTATGCGCACATGTTGCTGCAATTGTTGTTGGTGTTATTGGTTTTGCCAACAGGAAAAAAAAGCCTTTGTCATTTTTACCTTCTATGGGTCTTTTCATTTCTACAGTTTGGCTAATATTTACTCTGCCTCTGACCTGGCACTGAATGTTTGTCTGTGCATCTGCCTGCAAGAGATTGCAGTCTGGTTATCAGTTTTTTTTATGGCTTGTAAGTCTTGATAATTGTATCTTTCATAGGATTATTCCACTCTCATTTCATGCCATGCCTCTTCTGGTTCAACCACTCGGGGACATGATGTATTGAAGTGTAACTTTTTAGTTTATCAGTGTGAGCATAGATGCTGCAGAAGCACAATTAGTAGTAATAACATTGAAGAACATGAAGAAGGTAGATTTGGTGAAAGATTATCTTTGGAGCAGCATGTACACATTAATCACACTTGTGATGTTTTTAATTTGATTAATCCTCTTTGGTTCGTCTTTCTGGACTTGAATCACAGACAGTGTCCCTCTGATTGCATCAAAGAAAGCATTAACCAGAAACAGAGTGATTAGCAGCTTAGCTCTGAAGCTTTCTCCTAACTACAGTACATTCAGAGGAAGGCTGGAAAAGGTCCATTTCTACAGGGTGATGAGGGGGACGTCGTCACAGTCTGGCTGTGAGTCGGCACTTTCTTAGAGGTATCTGGTACTTCACTCTCCTGTGGTCTGTTCTATATGTAAAGAATATACATTTTTAAAGGATTTCGTGTTAAACCTGCTTTTGTTCACCTTTGTTATTTCTCATCTATAACTTTTGAAAATTAAATATTTCAAAGAATAAAATAAAAGTTTAATGCTGCAATGCATTTAATCCTAAATGTAATCTGATGCGCATGACTTTGTTTTATGCTCTATACACACGGAGACAGATTGTGTGCGTATGTTTACATGTCGTCCTCTGTTGTGACTTATCTGATCACATTTATCTTCTCTTCATCTTCACTTTTATTATCAACCCTTCCGCATTTTCTGGTTGTGGTTAATGCTTAAGTAAAAAAAAATATTTTGTTTGTGTGGTGATCCCAGAGAGATTATTCGTGCTCTGTTTTCTACCAGCTAATCAGAATGTGAAACAGAGCGGTAGGTGAGCCAGCGTCTTACATTTTCTTTTTTCACTCTTAGGAATTTTTTTTATGCAAAGAATTGAAAACAAAAACAAACAAAATGTGAAAATTATACAGACCTTGATTTTTGTAGCAGAGAAAGCAAAAGTTTTAATAGATAAGTTTCAAGGATAAGACACTGCTTATTTTGGCAGAATTCAGGGTAAACTTTTATTGAAATGTGTATTATCCCTTAAAACCCCACTATTTTTATTCTGGTAAAAAAAAAAAATATGAGTCAAAATAAGGCAGTGATAGTTACAGCAATTACTTATATTATTAATTTAAAGTGTCACTGAAAGAGAATTTGCATGCAAAGAAAAATACTTTTTTTCAAAATACTTTTTTTTCTAGAGAACTGATTTTGTTTTCGAAGTTTACGGTTTACAGTTTTGTCGAAGCCTCTGCATTGCAGTGTGAGGGCGTCAGCCAGATGTTGAAATAGTTTGTTTTGCAGTGCTTGTTTTTTTTAACATCAGCTAGGAGGTAGAAGTGCAAGTAATGATGCACTACTTTACCCTAAGACAGATTTTTTTTTATTTATTTACAGTAAATGCTTGTTTAATCAAGGTTCAGTCACAGGGATTGACGTCACTTTTTGGCATTGGTACCCATCTACTTGGTGACTTCTTTATATAGATTTATCTGAGAGCTGCAAATACCATACTCATTAGAACTGTTCCCTTAAACTTCCTAAAAAACAAACAAAAAATACAACTTCAAAAATACATCCTAGCTCAGAGCCTGTATAAAATGGCATCAGATAAAGCAGTGTCCCTTTTATCTGTTTACATGTTCCCCTTTTCAATTTGGAGACGTACATTTACCCTGAGGTTAATGGTCTGACATGTTTGTTTGATCAGTAATTGTTTGTCTTTCCTTCTTTGTGTTTCTCATTCTCCACTATTGTTTTTAAAAAGCTCTGGTCCTGGTGGATTTTGCTCCTGTGCTTCCTCATTAGATCTTAAAACAGGAACAATGGTGACATTTCATATTGTTTTATTTTCAACAATAAATAGAGCCATAAAAAGACCAAAAGTAATAAAGGAGTCATCCGCCCCTCAATAACCACCTTGTCCATCTCTGACACTAAAGTTTATCATCTGGAACTGCAGATGTAAAACCAGGTATCGAATATAGACGTTCAAAATATGCTCTCTGTTTTTTCATCTATGTTTTTATTGGGTTATTATAAAAAATAAAGCAAACTGTAATCACAGTTCCCCCCACCATAGCCTACTAAAGCCTCTGACGTGTGCTGTGTTTCATTTGCTTCAGCACTAGGAGTTGGTATGAGAAAGATACGAGTGAATACCAAGGCTGCGGCTGATAAGCATCACCTTATGTGAAATTCTTTGCAGAACAACACCACAGTAACACAACCACAGGCAACAGTGGCATGGTGCAGACAAACATTCATTTACTTGAAATCAATACAATGAGAAGCCATCTTTGTTTTTAACCCACGGTCAGACTATGAGCTGCAACAAGGTAAGTAGTAGAATTAATGACTTCATGTAGTCGACCTGGTGCCAAGTTCTGCTTGGACTTGAATATTATACTTGTATTTTTAGCCATCCTTTATCAACTACTTTTTACGCCATCATTCCACATAGTGCTGTCTTCAACAGCCCTTCATTTCCGACACTTGAAAATTTCCCCCTAAGGATGAATAAAATATGTATCTATTTCAGCATTATGTTTTTTTTTCTTTATCATTGGTTTCTACATCCGTAGTTATTTATTAGCACATTCCTCTTGTATTAGTCTATTATAAACATTTGACAGTTGCAAAATGCTCAAACGTTGTTATGAATTCCAAGTAAGGAAAAAGCTGTGACCAAGTAGGTAATCTTGCTGATTTGTAGCTTTCATCCACTAATAAGGCAACGCTTTCAAGTGACACTTGAAAGCAATTGTCAATCAAAATGTGTGTTTTTCTAAAAACAGACTCACCTGAGAAATAGCTCATGTGCGGCTTTGTTTTTCTTTTTTCATTTCGTTTTCTGTATCCAGAATAAACTACATTTCCACAAAGCTCATCTCATATGCTACCTGTCTTCCAGGTGGATGCCATTGTGACTCTGGGTGGTTTGGCCGGGAGGTTTGATCAGATCATGGCATCTGTAGAGACACTCCACCACGCTCTGTCCATGTCAAAGCTACCTTTGTTTGTCATACAGGAGAAGAGCCTGGTGTATCTACTCAGACCTGTGAGTGTTGAGCTTTTCATGTAATTTTCTCTCCTCAGATCTACAAAGCTGCCTTGTCTTTATTTAGGCCCTGTTAAAATGAAACATGAATACATGAGCTGTTCCTGTTTTTGTTTTTTTTTTGTTTGTTTGGTTTTTTTTTAAGAAAACCACTTCACAGCATTTTATGCTGAATAAATCAAAGTACATTATTTAGGACGCAACTTTAAATTAAACTATTGAAAGATCTGTTTTATATTTATATATATTTATCATCTGTGTATTCTTCATATTGCACAGAGGTACACTGAGTTTTTACCATAAAATACTGACATGCTTTTCATCCTTTTTTCCCTTTTTATTTTCTCTTCTTAGCCCTCTCATTTTTATTTTTTAATCTTTTCTGATTCCACCCTGATTGGAGTGTTAAACATTTTTGTTTCCTTGATGAATAATCACTTCAAACACACGCACACACACACAAACTTCCACACACCACTCGTCATGTTGGCCCAGTTTTCTGGAGAGACAAATACAGAGAAACAGTCAGAGTTGAAGAGAGCATGCATCTCTTTTGCTCCTAAATTGTTTTTCCTGGATGCCAGGCACTTCCTCGTGCTCCTTACTTGATTTAATTTACAAGTGTTCAGAGCAGCCTTCAATTGCAGAATACACTGCTGTTTTTGAACCTTCCTTCCCTGCGTTGTAATTTTGCTGGATCTTCAGTATGTGACGGCTAACTGTCATTCTTTTTGATGACACCTTGTAATATGTCGAGTATATAAACAGTTTTTCATGCTCTTCCTACCCACGGCATCATTATTTCAAAGGCGTGTTGTCATTTGCTGCTTCATACTTCGACACCTCCAATTAATCATACTTCTGCAAGGGTAAATGAAGCTCGTTTGTCAACGCGGCTGCAATTCACCGGCAACTGATGAACGCAGGCGTCTGTACATGAAGGTGAAAGCAACCTTTGAAAAGACCCTGTGATACTTTGGCAAGTTACATCTTTAACGCAAGTCCTTGCAACCAAAACCTTTGCCAATCACAGCCCTTGCAGTCATGACTCACACACAAACAATTATATTTTCA